TTCTCTGCCTTTGGCGGAACGCTTTGCTTTTTTGGTCTGAATTGGGGGTGTAGATGGTGGCATTGAGAAATAGAGTGATTGAACATACGACTGTTCGAACAATGAGATGGAAAAGACTTAATCACAACCTTTTGCCAATATCCATGGGGTTGTGTGCCCAACCAAATTTCCTCAGAAGCGGATGAAGTGATGTCTCTTTCAACAAGTACTCTGGCTTCAGATGGGCGAAAAAATTAAAAGTAGGAATGTCCGTTTTGAGTGGCTTACTTTAAGTTGAGGCAATACAGTACAATTTTTTTTGAGTGAAATAATGAAATTTTAGAACAGTGTGGCGAATCCAAACCGGAATGATTGGTGGTTCCGTCTAGGGGTCAAAATCCACAGACCATTTCAGAATCTTTATTGCTCTGTAATCAATCCAGATAATCCTATTAGCAAATAAGCGCGTGTAATTTTCTTCATTATTAAGTTGAATAAGAGTGTATCTTCATTTATAAGTCCAATTTTCCTCACTCCAACAAGGTGCATAAGCTCAATTTCCTTACAAATCAGCTCAATTTTGGGATGACCATACAGAAATTTTCCGACCAACTTTAGACAGAAGGAAGCAAGTTGAATATATTTAACTTCTGTAAAAAAGACGACAGACTTTCCATTCTTCTTACTAGGTTTCTTGATGTCCTCTGCCCACTTAAACGAAGGAGGAAATGAACACGATTTATGTGTACCTAAAGCTTAGGCACCCGTAAGGGCAGCAGCATACGTTCTGTCTGAAGCCATCCCCAATAGATGGAGGTGCGACGTTAAAAACAATGAAGAAAGCAGAGAGCAAATTACGAAACCAGAACAGGGAGCAAGGAGCGGAATGGAAGAAAACCCCTGTGAACTGCAGACGAAAAGAGCTAGCAAGCGGCAGTTAAGAGTCGCCTCTGAGCCCGATTTCTCAGGACGACGACGAGCCGCAGAAGCCCGCGCTCAGACTTCCACCCAGACGTCCCTCAATAGCCGAAGAACAGCGAGAGGCAACTGAGACGCCCTTGAGCTTGACAACTTCTCGAGAGAGCCACTGAATTGGGACGACGAATAAGAACAAGAACCGCTGCGACGCGACGACGAAAACTGGCGACGAAGACGAAAAGGAAAAAAGCCGAAACAGTGCTTGATCGATGATAATGCAGGGAAGCAGAAAAACCAGGGTTTGCCTAGCAGAGCGAGAACGAGGACGATAAAGCCATCTATATATATATATATATATTCATATATATATATTTTGTAGGACTAATTATCTACTCATATGATCTTTTAATCTTGTTGAGTGCACTTCAGACTGGGTGATGGTGAAAATCATATCGGGCTGAATCATTCTCCGATGTTACACCTCAGGTTAAGTTGAGGTGGTTGACCGGGATGTGACATTGGAACCCTCCCATCCATAATATTTTTCTTTAATTCAACATAAATTTTGACCTGTAATTTATTAGGTGATATAAATAAGGAATCCGAGAAATTATGTTCAATAACACAATATAAAAAAAAGAAAACTTTATCATAAAATATGTTAAATAAATTGAAATGTTAACTTCATCATGCCATCAATATTTGTGTCTAGGATGTTTACTTGGGTACAAAATTTATGTAAGAACGGACAACAGGATGAATTGGATGTTAATAGAGAAATTGGAGAAGAGGAGATGAAGTTTAAGAAGTTTAGAAAGATATGTAGAAACACGAAGCTGATTAATGTTTGAATCCTCAAAGCAACCTATACTAAATATCCAGCATAGGTGAGGTGAGGCTTAAATTTTCATGTACCCATAATTTGCTCTTTTTTATTAATTATCTTGTCTAATGAATTACATGACGATGGGCTTACACTAGAATTTATTCGAACGACAACCATCCAAAGACAAATATATAAAAAATGGTTCAAAATGTTAAATGACAATAATCCCTAGAAAAAAGATCAAGAAGGCAAATTGACATGAAATATGGCATAACATATGTTAGAAACAATAGCAATGACTAAACACAATTATAGGGTGTATGAACAATTTATCTGAGATATCAATTTCTTTTTTCTTATTTCACATCTCAACTGATTCTTTCGAATTACGTAATGTTTCATAAATGTGGACTATTCAGTTAGATTCAATTTTCGCCAAAACCCATCCTGATTTGTATGCATATGGTTTAAGGGGGTAGAGAATTGACCTTGCTAAATTTTTGCATGTTAAATATGAATTCAAGAATTGTTTATAAACAATCATCAAATAAATTAGAGTTTTTAAATTGCTTTAAATATGAAATCATATATATGACAGAAAATGTGTCTCCTAATACTAATGAAGAAGATTTAGAGCCAAACACCAACCATCTTACTGCTACTAATGAGTTGGTAGAACTACCTATTGAGAGGGCAGGTGTTTCCCAAGTATTGGAATAATGTCCTACACAAACTCAGGAATTCATCGCTGCAACTGCCTTTCCTTCTATGGATCAGACTGAACAATCTTCAGAAAAAGAATGACATGTTTACACTTCTCGGCGGAGGAAGAAGGCTGGGGGCACTGTTCAGCTTGGAAACTTAATGGATGATAGCTTGGCCACTCCTGACAATGAAACAACACTTCAGAGTTTGCTATCTGGATCCGCTCTAAGAACCAGATGAAGAAGCAGGTCTAGACTGCCTCGTCCATAGACACTTGTTTTTGGATGTTTTCTTTTTTTGATTTCACCAGACCGTTTGTAGCTTATGTTTTAGTTGAGAGAGATATTACTCAACCAACTCGGGATGAGGTATGGATTAACACCACTCACAATGAGTATTGGCAAAGGGTTGAAATAGACTCACACCCTTCTTATTCCTATCATTGTAGTATGTTTAGCCACAGTTCTATTATTTGCTATTGCTTGTATCCTCATCTAAGGCCGAATATCGCTAAAGATCAGCCACTTACCATCCCTACTGAGAAGGTACAACCCGATCCTCTTTCCAACACCGCAGTTCCAGATGAAGAACACCATACTACAGGTACAGATTCAAATGTGCTGATACCACTCACTGTTATTGAAGCATGCCCACTTACATGCGAAGACACACGAGAGTGCTCATTCGATCCGATAAAAAATCAGCTGGTACAACTACAACAAGCGGTTGCTTCTAATGTTCAACAACCTACACATGTCCGAAACACTTTAGACCATTCCACTGATCAGGTGAGTCAATCTTCAGATGAGGAATGACAGGTCTACTCCAGGAGGAAGAAGAAGAACAGAGACCGACTCGAGCTCGGGAATTTATTAGATGATACATTGGTTACTACTGGTAATGACACTCATCTTACCAATTTATTAGCAATTTATTAGCTAGCTCATTCAGCTCATTCCCTAGAACTAGAGGCAGAGACAAGGCAAAATTAGGTTGCTATCTAGCTACCTGATACTCTGTATTTTAGCTCTTTTTGGTTTTTTCTTTAGGTCTCTCTTGTGTTTTTCTGTATTTTTCTTTTTGGAACCATTTGATGCGATGATTATCGTGTGGGCAGGGTGCCATGTTTGGGCTCTCTCACACAATCGATCTGTATCCTACTTTCTATTTAATATATTAGCCTTTGGGCTTTTTTTAAAGAAAATATATAGTTAAGATAGATTGATAGATAGATCCAAAAAGTGCACCGACTGTAGGTGAGTTGGTGGCGGCTCTGCATAAGTCCCCTCTCGACCCTGGTTCGAATCCTCGACCAGACGGGATTCAAATTTGCACATGGGATTGGTTGGGGGGTCCGCCCTTCGGCCAATACTTAAAAAAAAAATAAAAAATAATATATATAGCTATATATATCCAAAAAAACCTTCTATAATTATACAAAATTATTTATTCAAAAGCTATCTTAGAAAAACACGTTACCTGACTTAGAATGACATGCTCGTTAACATAAGTCTCTTTAAAAACCAATAATATAATATCAGGTAAGCTACATGATCAATGAGTAAAATATTGCTAAAATAAGGTTCTAACATATGAAGAAGAATGTAATGTGCCTGCTAATTAGTAACATGAAAAAACATCATATTAACAAATAAGCATTCTTTAATATTAAAATAATAAAGAAAATATTATTTTAAAATAGTAAGTATAATAGTAATTATCACAGGAAAATATAAATGATTTCAAGCACTATACCATGCAATATCATATGTTCATTTGCTTCATCTATATTTTCATTGTTTATCTCAACCTTTTCTTTCACATTATATTTACATTGGCTTTGACATATTTCATTTCCCTAAGTCGTCACTCAGCCCATCAGCTATGATAACTGCTAATTAAAGTTGGCCATCCATATAATACATTTATCAATGAATCCATCTCAACCGTAATATTACAATTCAGAATTTCAATTATTTCTCTACCAAAAAGCATTTGGTAAAACTATTGTCTTTTCGTGCGCAATTCATCATTATAACTATACATATCACAATATATGCCACATTTTCTAAATCATCTTTATTCGTTATTATTATTTTTATATGCATGCAGTACTTCATCTAAATTTACTTGCAAAAATCCCTTTATTAATATGCATAAAATACAATTTTATATATAATAATTAACAATTTATATTTGGTATTGTATTTCCATGAAATGATATAAGCATAATAAAATCCGAATTATATTAATAATTTTACTCAATATAAAATAAGTTTTTTAATGCCAACAGAGACAATATGAATCTATTACTAGGCAATAGCAAACAATAGTTTTATTATATGTCACATCTTCTTTTACATTGATTCCAAAAGTTTTGTTTTCCTTTGGGAAGTAGCATAGCTATTTTGTGCCATATCACCAACATCATTCCTTATTTTCTTAGTTGAAACAAAATGATAATGAGTTATTTTGAGCTTTTCACATAAACTAACTTAAAATATACTTTTGGAAGATGGATAAATCTTGTTTTTCGTGCCTTACATTGATTTATGTTCGCTATGTTTTGAAGGTATGCATCTTGGGGTGAAAGACTACCTCACAGGCCTGTTGAAGACAATGCATTTGCTGTTGCTCGTTTTTTCCAACGCGGGGGAAGTTATAGTAATTACTACATGGTAATTTAGCGTCTAACTGTACTGAATTAGCTGATCTATGTATATGCATGATATTTTGTATAGCCCACTTCTAGCTACATTATTAATTTTCTACCAGGACAAGTCCTTGTCTTCCTTCTTCCCCTCTTCCTTCCCATTCTTTGCTAGTTTTCTGTCCTCTTTGCGAACAGAAACCTTACTGTGACTTAGTATATATTTGCAGAAGTTATGACTGAAGTTTTTGAGCAATGGCCTAAATCTTGATCTAAATATCACTGGTGGCGCGATTAGTTCAATTTTTCTACAGATTTATTGGTTAAATAATAAACTAGACTGAGTTGATCTCTCTTTGTTTCACTTGATCATAGTTTTTTGGTGGAACAAACTTCGACAGAACAGCAGGTGGTCCTTTTCAAATAACTAGTTATGATTATGATGCTCCGATAGATGAATATGGTTTGTTAATTTCTTCATTTGGACTGTCCTTTTAATTTACATTTTTTCAAGCGTGTTAATTGTTACCTATAACAATAAGATGTCAAACTTTTATTTATTAGCTTGGAGAAATCCAGTTTATCATTTATTATGAAGTATCTGATCGTGTTGTTTTATCTAGGTTTGTTATCTGAACCTAAATGGGGGCATTTGAAAGATCTTCATGCAGCAATAAAACTTTGTGAACCAGCTTTAGTTACTGTTGATCATGAGCCCCAGTATTTTAAACTGGGGCCAATGCAAGAGGTTAGTCTTATTTGTCTTCTGAATGATCATTTCTGCAAGTAGAGTAATGTGTTGAAATTCTACTATTCCAATCATAACAAGGAACTTATTAGAATAAAGTTTTGATAAACCAGCTTTAGTTATTGTTGATCAAGAACCCCAGTATTTTAAACTGGGGCCAATGCGAGCGTTTGGTCTTATTTGTCTTCCGAATGATCATTTTTGTAGCAGGATAATGTGTTGTATTTAATTATTAGGCTAATTACTGCTGCAGTTATTACTATCATTTATTTGATTTTATTTGCTTCATTTATTTCTGTTTTTATATTTATGTATTCCTTAGTTGGTCTTTTTCTGAATTTAGGTTTTTTCTTTATTTGGAACTTGTAATGCATTTATACCTCTATTCCTATAAATAAATATATATAGCTCTATTCTCTAAAAAGAGCTATGGTTCTATCCCTAGAACTTCTACCCTAGTCGTCGACCAACTGTAGGTTTTCCCTGATTTTCTTCCTTTGTCGCTATTGTTTTTATCGTGATACTGCTGCTTTTCCGCGATAGATACCTTGCCACACCTATTATTTTGCCGCACCTGCTACTTTACTACACCTGCTTTTGTAGTTATTACCACACTTGCTACTTACAAAGAACTACTGCAGCTTGATTAGTTGCTTGCCCATCTATTGTTCTATTCTCCCTGTTTTTTTTTTCCCAAGGTTACTTCTCGGCTGCTTTTTTCAAGATCTTCCCATTTCTCGACAACCTAACATAACATTTGTCTTTGTTGGAATCATGGTGGACTATTCCACCACCAAGCTGTCTCCCGACGGTGTTCTTGAATCCACGGGAGGGGCACCGATTGCAGTCCTTCGCAGACCAGAGGACCGACAAAACCACATGAACTTCATAATCACCCCTCATAAATTGAACAGATCTAATTTTCTCCAATTGTCCCATGCCATTTCTTTATTCGTCAAGGGACGTGGGAAATTTGGCCATCTCACGGAAATATTTTGTGAACCTTCTAAAATTGACCTGATGTATGAAATATGGGAAGTGAGAAATTCCATGTTATGTTGTGGTTGATTAGCTGTATGGAAACGACAATTGGATGTTTGTATTTGTTTCTTTCTTTTATCAGTGTCATGTGGAGTGTAGTTCGTGATACCTACTCAGATGTATGGAACTCCAGCCAACTTTATGAGATTTCAAAAAAGATCCACGAGACAAACCAGGGAGCAAGAACAGTAACTCTGCACTAAAATGATTTTGTGACCTATGGATGGAATATGATATCTACTATGATTACACGTGGGAATCTCCAACTGATCTTTTCCGCTTCCAAAGAATTGTAGAAGCTTGCTTGTTCTAATTTCTGACTAGTCTTAACAAAGACCTAGGTGAAGTCCTGCACCATATCCTTCGTCGGGAACGCCTTTCTTTCGCTTGTGCTGTGTTCACAGAAATTTGACGCGAAGAGAGCTGAAGAATTGTCATGCGTGGCACTTCCACCTTAGTTGAATCATCAGCCTTGGCCACTAATAATATTCAACACTCGTCAAACTCTCCTAAAGACACCGGGCTGACTTGTGATTATTGGCACAAACCCAACCATACTTTAGAAAAGTATTGGAAACTTTGTAGGAGATTAGTTTATAAACCTTCAGTCAAATCCTCCTCTGACTATGACATCTAAATCTACTATGATTCGACCAGCTCATGCTCGAAACACTTTGGAATCACCCGACTTCCTTAAGAGTCAGATGGAGCATTTTAATCAAACTATTTAGATCCAATTACTTCAGCTCATACACAGAAGTATTGTGATGTTTGTGACTTTCAGAATCGTCGTTCAAGGAGGGTGAATGTAACTGCTAGAAGAGTAGCTGGGCTCTACTTCCAAGAGAAAGACATGAAAAACGAGGATACTTTTCCCAGGAGTTGCAGTTCTTCGTGATTCACTGAATGTTCTATTATGTTGTGGCATTATCGTTTAGGTCATACCAATTTTCAATATTTAAAACAATCATTTCCATCGTTGTTACTAATAAAAATCTTGTTAACTTCAAATGTGAGATTTCTTAATTAGCTAAATATCATCATGTTCCTTATCCATCTCATCCCTACCCTA